AAAAAAATCCTTTGTTAAATTAAAATTTACTAGAAATTCATCGTATTGTAGTGCTCGTCAAGCCAGCCAATTGAATTTTTCTTCTTTTTGACTTCTGTGTTTGGGTAGTTGGTTCCTGACCATGCATACCATCGATCCTACATACATTTCTTCATTTCTATTATATATTTTAAAGTTTCATTTATAGAATATTTTCTAAACCTCAAATCTAATAAGCACTTGAGGGAAAAAGGAATGATGATCATCCGAATATCATCTTTCTTTGCTTTCTTAGTACTGCTAACGATTGAATCAGCAGCAGGCCAGGCTCTGGTGAAGCCTCGTTGTCAAGAGCTTTGTGGGAATGTCAGCATTCCATACCCCTTTGGAATCGGAACAGATTGCTACATGGACAAAGGGTTTGAGGTCTACTGTAACGCTTCCGAAATTCCGAGTATAATCCTAAACAGCGAAAAATTAGAGGTACTGTATATCTCTCTTGATCCCAGCTTTATTAGCATCAAACTACCCATAAACTGCACGGACTGTGACAAAATCTTGGAACATTTGAGTCTTTATGAAAGTCCTTTTAGGTCTGTCTGGTCAACCATCGACGAACATTATGTTCCAGGGGTGTTAGAATGGGCGATTACTGAGGAGGATGTATCACAATTACCACGTACAAATGAGAGTGCATTTAATTGTTCCGAGTTTACTGGTATTAATGATACTATAGGTTATGCTTATCATATCTTGTTTCCCTTACCTTTTTTACCAACTCCACCTCCACCTCCACCTCCAACCTTCCGAACCCGCACAATCACCCCTAGCCCCGCGCCCTCAAGCCCGCCGAAACCGCCAAGTAAACAATGCGTTTGTGAACATGGATTTCAAGGCAACCCTTATCTACCTCATGGATGTCACGGTGAACTTCTATCTCCTCCACTTTTTCTCTAGTTATATCTGTGTCTCGTTTCTTTTATTTGTAATATTTAATATTTATTTTTTTTTACAATCATCTATCAACTGAGTTTTGTTTGAAAAACATTAAACACAATAAGAAAAAAAAAAAATTTAGTGCCTGTAACATAATTTTTTTTTAGAAAACATGGATATTTAGTCGACTTTTTGATCTTGGTTAGTTTTACGAGAACCTGCAATAAAACTAACAAAGGGTAGCAGGTTTAGCCGTTGGAGATTTTTCTATGCCTACGCTATTTTTTTTGCTCTATTTTTTTCTGTTGCTGATTTTATTTTTGTCTTTTTGTCTTAGATATTGACGAGTGCAATGACCGTACTTTGTGTTTATCTTATCCGGACTCAATTTGTGTAAACAAGATAGGGAGCTACGCTTGCGAACCCAAACAAGGCAAAAAAGCCTGGCCATTAATTTTGGGTAAGCCCCATACTTTTTCTATATTTATTTATTTATTTATTTTTACCATAATATATCAATTTTATAATATATTCGGGTTTTATTGGATAAAAATAATACATTCGGATGTTAAAAGTTGAAAATGGTATTTTTTTACTGGGACTGCACAAAAGGGTACCTCTATGATGCTTGTATGATTCCCCCTCCTCGGTCCAACGCCTCGGCCTTCTACTAGTTCCCAATCTCAATAACACGGTTCCCCCCACGATAAGCAAAAGGGCATTCAAAAAGAGATACTTGTATGGTTCCTTGGCAGAATAACACAACAAAAAATTAAACTTAAACGCATACTTCTCCAGTTCAGTACCTATCCTTGGTATCCTTTCTCTTCAACAGACCTTTCAGTAGCATCTAGAGAATAAACTGGTGTCCAGGAATCCAACCAGAATTCCACGCCAATCTAAACCAAGGAATTATATGAACCTGGAAGTCTGTAACCTCATCAATTGACAATTGGTAGCTTTATTGATTGAGAAGCCCCTGACTACAAAAATTTATTCGCTCTCTCAGACAAAGCCAAGCCTTTCGATCTCAGCCCCTATACCAGAATATCTCTTTTCAAAACCAGTTGGCATCTGCCATCCAAATTGGCCCCACTGGGAAATTTTGCTTCATGCCCCGCAGTTAGTGATCTCACCCAAATTTTGTAGCCTATCAAAAAGTCTGTCTCCTGGTAGCCAACATTCACGGAAAAGGGAGGTTTGCCTACCATCCCTAACTTCAATTCTAATTACTAACACCATCTCTTATCATCTTTGTCACCTATTCACCTAGAGATCTTTTCTTAAAGACCATGCAGGATCCCGTGGACTTTTATTTATTTTATTTCATTTCGAATTTTCTAACTAACCATGAAACTGGACTTTTATACAATCAAGTTTTGATATACATGTGTACCTCCTGCTAAAGTCATCCGTTTCTCCTTTCTTAATCCCTGCAGGCAATAGCCTAGGGCTTGGAGCAGTGTGCTTACTTATTGGTACATACTGCTTGTACAAAATTTTAAAGAAGAGAAGGAAAAAGAACCTCCAGATGCAGTTCTTCAAACAGAATGGAGGTTTATTATTGCAGCAACAACTCTCTTCAACTGAGGGTAATATTGAAAGGACCAAAATATTCAGCACCAAGGAGTTGGAGAGGGCAACTGACTATTTCAACAAGAATAGAATACTTGGTCAGGGAGGCCAGGGCACTGTTTATAAAGGAATGTTGGTTGATGGAAGAATTGTTGCGGTTAAGAAGTCCAAAGTACTGGATCAACAGAAAGTTAAAGAGTTCATCAATGAGGTGGCCATTCTTACAGAAATTAATCACAGAAACATTGTTAAGTTATTAGGTTGTTGTTTGGAGACTGAAGTTCCTTTGCTAGTTTATGAATTCATTCCGAATGGGACACTTTTCCAGTACATACATGATGAAAATGAAGACTTCCCATTAACCTGGGAAAGACGGTTAACAATTGCAGCAGAAGTAGCTGCTGCCCTTTCCTACTTGCACTCAGCAGCCTCCATTCCCATTTATCATAGAGATGTTAAGTCCTCAAATATTCTACTGGATGAAAAGTACAAAGCAAAAGTTTCAGACTTTGGGGCATCAAGATCAATTGCCATTGATCAAACTCATTTGACCACAAATGTTCAAGGCACATTCGGGTACCTAGACCCTGAATATTACCAAACTAGTCAATTTACAGAAAAGAGTGATGTTTATAGTTTTGGCGTTGTCCTTGTTGAGCTCTTAACAGGAGAGGAACCAATTTCTTTAGCAAGGGCAGAAGGAGGAAGAAGTTTGGCCTCTCATTTCATTCATTCCATGGAAGAGAATAGTCTCTTTAGTATTCTTGATGCTCGAGTTAGGGAGAGTTCTGCACATGAAGAGATAACAAAGGTCGCTAAACTTGCACATCGATGCTTGAGCTTGAATGGTAAAAAGCGGCCAAAGATGATAGAAGTTGCCGTGGAGTTAGAGCAGATTCGTCTTTTGCAAAACAATTCAAATGGTCAACAGAATCATGACGAGGTTACGTATGTCAAAAGTGAAGTAACCAATCTCTGGGATGGTACCTCAACATCAATAGGTTCAGGTTTGGACTCTGGAGCTTCTTTGTCCATAGATATGCAGCCATTAATTTCCAATACATCATGGGGATTTAACTGATTTATCGTAGAATGCATTTATGCCATGTTGAGGAACATAATAAGCTCTTTCTTTCTTTAGTGTTTGAAAATTTGTTGTTCATCTAATTTTTATTTTTGTTGCTTTGTAGTTTAAAGTTCAAATAAAGTTTATGCACTGCTCGGTTACAATAATTTGATATCATGATGACAGCTAAGAGCATAAGACCATTTCCTTTCCATTTTTAAATTCTTTGTGTCACAAAAACTTGCCAAGATTAAATTAAGTCAACTTTTAGATTTGGTGCTATGTGCATATTAATATGTGTATGCATGAGTTATTTAATCATACTCCTCAAAATGCTAGCACAAAGTCATTTCCTAATTCCAGCTCAACTATCCTGAAACTTTCACCACTCAGATAAATTTATCTTAGCAGCAGTATTCACAGTAAAGCATTGAGTATATTTTGCTGTTAAGAAAAAAAGTATTGAGTATATTTTCCTTGCTTGGTTTGTCTTATGAAAGTATGAGGAGAAATTTGAAAGGAAAATATAGTTATTCACACCTTCAGCATTAACAAAACAATCATCAGACTAGCATGAAATGCCCTTAATTCCTGTGTAGCCAAAATAGCATATTCTAAGATAACATGGTAATTATAGCATTGAAAAACCAGGTAACAAGACTTACCTATATGCAGAAGCGTCAAAGTAGACAGTTATTCCCTTAAAATAGCCTTCCAAGTAGTTTTCTTCCATCTGCAAACTCGAAAGTCAAAACAAGTATCATAAGACAAGAAGAGGCCTAATTTCCGCTGTGCATAATATGGAGAACCAAGATGATATAATTCAGTCTACATCTTTTCATTTTCATCCTTACAATTAAACCAAAAAACTCAAATGCATTTTTATTTCATCTCAGATAATGAAAATTGAAATACTAATATTTAAAGTCTTTTTAAAATTTCATAAAATAAAAAATCTTTTTAAAATAGAAAGTGAGATAACTAAATTTGGCAGCCTCTATTTAACAAGTTAGACAACTAATTAGATCAGGTCTATTTAGTAAGTGAGACAACTAAATCAGACTAAAAGGAGTATTCATCAATTGGTCAACAGGTGAATGTGTTAATGATATCTAAGGATTAGAATTTTATATGAAACTAGAAGCTTAGGATATTTCCAAGCGGCGGCCAACCATCCTCTAAAAGGAAAATGAATTTTCAAGTGGATTAAAATTTTCAAGTAATGCATCAGATTATATTTAGTGAAGCCGGCCAGTTGAGTCTTTCTTCCTTTGGAGTTTGGACTTCAATGTTTGGGCAGTTAGTCCCAAAACATGCATCCTACGTACATTTCATCTTTACGATATATAAAGTTTCATTTACAAAATGTTTCCTAAATCTCAAATCTTATAAGCATCTGAGGAACAAAAGAATGATGATCATCATGAGAACATCTATCTTTGCTTTCCTACAATTGCTAATGATTGAATCAGCAGTAGGCCAGGCTCTGGTGAAGGCTGGTTATAAAGAGCGTTGTGGGAACGTCAGCATTCCATATTCCTTTGGAATCAGAGCAGATTGCTACATGCACAAAGGGTTTGAGGTCTCCTGCAACAAAACTTCCAACCCTCCTACAACTTTACTAACCAGCATAGAGACTCAGGTGCTGTATTTTTCTCTTGATCACGGCATAGTTAATGTCCAAATGCCAATCATATCCCAGCAGTGTTCTGTAAGTTTGAAACTTTTGGATTTCTCGGGAAATCCTTTCATGTCCTACAAAAAGAGAATGTCGTTGCCCCCTGAGGGATATGTTCCAGCTGTGTTAGACTGGGTGATTACTGATGAGGATGCATCACAATTAGCATATAGATATGATCATGCATTTAATTGTTCCCAGTTTAATGGTACTATTGCTAATTCTTCCTTCTTTTATAATACTTCTTCCCTCCCTCCAATGCCCCTAAACACAAGTCGACGATGTTTTGTGATCAGGGATTTCAAGGCAACCCTTACCTACCTTATGGATGTCAAGGTAAACCAAGGGTGGCAGGTGTACCAATTGGAATATTTTTATTATGCCATGATATTTTTTATTTTTGTTAGTATTGTCTTGCTGATTTTTTTTTGTCTTAGATATTGACAAATGCAATGAACCCAGGCACATTTTTTACTGTGGTTGGGACTCAATATATGCAAATAAGGTAGGGGACTACGCTTGCAAACCCAAAGGCAAAATAGCCTGGCTATAATTTTGGGTAAGATCCACATTTTCGGACTTTTATTTATCATTTTTTGAAGATAAATCGATTTTAAACTCAAAATCAATTTCAACTCAAACGCATACTGCTGCAGTTCAATACCTATGTCTTCAACAAAGCTTGTCACTAGCATCTATAGGATAAACAGTTGTCTAGGAATCCCACTAGAAGGCCACACTGCCACACCTACCTAAACCAATTAACTCTATAAACCTGGAATCTCATCAATTGACAATTGATAACTTTAATTGATTGGTAAGCCTCGAGTGCAGGAAAACAACTTTAATTGATTGATAAGCCTCTTGAGTGTAAGAAAACATTATCTGCTCCCTTAGACAAAATCAAGCCTTTCATCTCAGCCACCACACCAGAATATCTAGTTGGCATCTGCCATCCAGATTGTCTCCACTGAGAACTTTTGTTTCATGCTGCCCATGATGAACTCAGCTATTTTCACAAATTCTGTCTTCTTGTAGCCAACAGTCATAACAAAGGGAGGTTTGCTTGTCTATCTACCATCCCCAGCTTCAATACTAACACCATCTCTCATCATCTTTTTCACCTAAAGATCTTTCTTCAAGACCATGCGCAATCCTGTAGACTTTTATTAATTTCATTCCATTTCATTTTGAAATTTGAATGGTCTAACCATGAAACTGGAGTTTTATATAAATCAATTGTTGATATACATGCATATCTCTTGCTAACGTCATCTGTTTCTTCTTTCTTGATATCTGCAGGTATTAGCCTAGGGTCAGGAGTAGTGTGTTTACCATTGGTACATGATGGTTGGACAAAATCTTAAAGAAGAGAAGGAAAAAGAGGCTTCAAAAGCAGTTCTTCAAACAAAATGGAGGTTCATTATTATTGCAGTAACAACTATCTTCAACTGAGGGTAATATTGAAAAGACCAAAATAATTAGTACCAAAGAGTTAGAGAAAGCAACTGACAATTTCAATAGGAATAGAATTCTTGGTCAAGGAGGCTATGGCATAGTTTATAAAGGAATGTTGGTTGATGGAAGAATTGTTGCAGTTAAGATGTCCAAAGGACTGCATAAAGAGAAAGTTAAAGAGTTCATTAATGAGGCGGTCATTCTTACACAAATTAACCATAGAAATATTGTTAAGTTATTAGGCTGCTATTTGGAGACTGAAGTTCCTCTGCTTGTTTATGAATTCATCTCCAACAGGACACTTTTCCAGTACAGACATGATCAAAATGAGGACTTCCCATTAACCTGGGAAAGAAGGGTAATGACTGTAGCGGAAGTTGTAGGTGCACTTTCGTACTTACACTCAGCAGCCTCCATTCCCATTTATCATAGAGATGTCAAGTACTCAAATATTCTACTAGATGAAAAGCACAGGGCAATAGTTTAAGGCTTTGGGGACATCAAGATTAATTGCCATTGATCA